AGTAGAAGAAGGAAAAGGCGAAAGAAAGATAACGAAAGAAAGAGGAAAATAATTATAGAAAGATGAAAAGAAGGGAAGAAAGAAAGAAGATGGAAAATTACAAAGGAGAAATAAAAAGTGAAAAAAGAGCGGATGATAAATAAAAGGCGACGAAGAGGAAGGGCAGACGAGCCGTGGTCCGGGAGGTGAGGGCAGAGCGCGGAGCCCCTGCCCCTCTCCTCGCCTGACAGACGGACACAGGGCGAGCACAGGTCCCTGACCTACCGCGAGCATCTCCAGGAGATTTCAAAAGCACCAATTTAATTTCCAAAGCAATTTTCCCGCGGCTGAGCCAACAGCCCTCCCTGCCCTCTCCACATCGGAAAACGGGATTTTTAAAATTATTTTTTTAAACCATCTCGTTTCTCTACGTTCTGCTCGGAGAAGGAAAAAAAAAACTAAAGAGAGATGGAGAGGGAAAGAAGATGCTGCAGGGCAATGTTTTCAGGTCGGGCACTGGGGCACAGGGAGATTGGACGTTATTATTAAATCCTAAATTCACCGTGAATACGGGAGTTTCTGCGCAGTCTCAAGGAAAGGCCAGGGCAGTCCTGGAGTAAGGATCAAACTATTGGAAAAGATGTTCTTGATGTCTTAAGGTGGTTTTTATAATCCAGGATGATTTATTTTTGTTCGGGGCCGCGAGAAACTAGAAAGAGAAAGCCAAAAAAAAAAAACTACCGGAGAAAGGAATAAGATCTTGACCTTTCCTAATTCTCCAAATCAGCAGTAATGGAAAGCAGAAGGTGCCAGGGGAAGAGGCAGGGGGTGAGGGCCGAGCGGGGCCGGGGTCCCGCACCCACAGCCCGCAGCGGGCGAGGGAAGGGCCGCTCGCTCCCCTCCTCGGGATCCGCGCCGCTTAACACGGGCTCAGTTAAGAGAAAGCAGAGAAAGAAATTACACACACGCAGCCCTCCCGCTGCGGTCCCGACGGGGATATTCCGGGGCAGGATCGTTTTATCCCGCCCCGACAAACCCGAGGAGAATCCCCCGTTTTCCGCCTCTCCCGGGCTGCGCACGCACGGAAATCCGCCGCGGAGTAACTGCGCAGAGAGCGTCGCGGTTTTGCTGCGAGCCTTTCATCTCACATATAGAAAGCAGAGGAGTGGGGGCACATTAGGGAAAAAAAAAATAATAAAATAACATCTCCATGAATGCGTGACCAAAGCCAAAAGCAAGGCAGGAAAATCTGCACTCCCCCGGTTCTACTCGGAAACAGCCGCCGATCCGAAAGGCAGAAGTGTTAAAAATTAAAATACCCAAACGTGCAGGAAAGGATCGGGCTCCTGGAGGGCTTTGCCCGGGGTTTAGCACTGACAAAACCAACTCCCGAAAGCAGCGCCGAGAACCTGGGCTACAGAGCCTACGCACGGGAGGGGAGGAGAAGGGAAATGCTAAGTCGCCTTTTTGGCCAGGGACTCCCAAGCAGCGACTGCAACAGCTAATTATTTTCCTTTCAGTGCTCGGTTATTGCTGGTGTCCTCCTCGCCTCCCCTCCAATAAATAAATAAAACCCTCCTTTAGGCAGCGAGGCGTGAAAAATGATCCTCGCCGAACGCTTAAAAATAACGTCCCGTGAAGATCGGGGCCGCGGAGCCAGCCAGCCCCGTAATTAGGGGCCTTTATCCGTCCCGCCCAGCCGAGGAGAAATTTCTCGTGAAACCCCCGAGCCCAGCCCGGCCAGGGCATTCCGGAGCCAGGGGAGACCCCCGGGTCCTTCCCCCATCCCGGTGGGTCCCCGAGCCACGCAGACACTGGCAGGCGGCGTGAGACTGATCGGGGCACGGAACGAGCTGCGGAGCTTCAGGGGAATTCAGGGAATGGGGGAAATTCTGATGTTAGAGACGCTTGGGGGTCTGCCCCCCAAAATAAACCCTCGGCGGCGCTTGCGGTCGCAGCCCCCGCAGGTCCGAGCGCGACCCCTCCTGCTTGGGTACCGCGTTGATGGGGGGATCCCCCGCTCCCCGAGTCAGGTCAGCTTCAATCCTCTCCGGGTACGGCGGCTTAAAACCCCACAATGACTCCGCCAGGCGAAAGGAGACGAACGGAGCCGGGGAAAGGTGTCCCAGTGGCAGGGACCCCCCCGATCCCCCTGTCCCTGTCCCAGGGAAACACCGCTTCCCTGCAGAGGACCCCCCTCCATCCCTTCCAGCCCCGAGACCACCAGCTTGGAGAGCCCATTGCACCGGCGGGACTGCGGGGGCCGCACGCCTCCTTCATCCCTCCGGGCATCCACTGCCATTTCTTATCCGCTCCTGGCACCCTTAGCTCCTTTTCCTCCTGCGCTTCACGAACAAACAAGCCAAAAATTATTTAAAAATCGCTACTTTATGTTAAAATAACCAGCCCCCCTTCTGCCAGGCGCACAACCACCACCCAGCCTCGCTGCACATCGCTTTCTTCCCTCGGATCCCTTCTCCTCAAAGCAGGCTCGGTTATTAAAAGAGGCTGAACAAAGATAGCCCCGAGAGCAGCTATCAGCGCATTTTAACTTCATCAAAGACTTCGGGGGAGAGGGAGAGGAGGGGTCTGGCACCTTCTAGTAATGAGCTTGTCAGGAACACCCCTGCCAGAGCAATTGAACAATTTGCACACAAGCAAAAGAAAAGGAGAGCGGAGGGAGGGAGGAAGGGGAAATGCTACAAAAGCCCCTTCAATTTCCAACCATGTGCTTGGCAATCTGGAAAATAGATTCATTGGCCTCCTCTTTTCTCCCATGTCGAGTCTTGTAGCCCCTTTTGTAGGAGCTGGACATGAAAGGGAGACAACCAAGTGCCGGACACGAAGATCGCTTTTCAAAAGCAAATGTGTGTGAAGGCGAGATGTGAGACCGCTCGCTGCGGGGAGGCGGCACGTTCAGGAACAACATCAACAAACTGCGCGGAGGTTCGAGGTGGCACAGACAGGGGCGGCCAGGGGGAATAAGAAAGGCGTGGGTGGGGGAAGAGAAAAGAAAAGCCGATCCCCCCCCGTTCCCGGCGCACACCGCCCGGCTCCTGCTCCTCCTGAGCCCCGAAGGCCCCGCACAAAGCCCCGTGCCCGGGCACCGGCTCCGGCCCCGCTCCCTGCCTCGCACCGCTCAGCTTTTTTTCCCCTTTTCTCCTTCTCCTTCAGCTGGCTGCCCGGTCAGAAAGGCCTCGATTCTTTCGATCAGGGTCCCTGCCAACAAGCAAACCAAAGAGCCACGTTTGGTCCCTGAAAAAAAAAAAAAAAATTGGAAGGTGGGAGCGGGGGGGGGGAGAGAAGTTTGGAAGAGAAGGGAGCGCTTTAAGATGTTTATTTACTTTGTAAGTTGTTGCAAAATTTAGGTAGAGATCAAGTTTCATTCGGTCATTCAGATACTGCAGGCCCGAGGGGGACGTGTATGCGGGGGGGAAACCCTCCAACTTATTTTCGCATGTGTCAACTTTTCCAAACAAAATAAAAGAATGTTTGGGGGGGGGGGGGTGGTTGGGGAGAGGGTGAAGAAGGGAGAACCTTTTTCCCGGCCGCCACCTCCTTCCCCCTGAAAACACGCGGGGTAATTTTTTGGTTTTGGTTTTGTTTGGGGGGTTTTTATGCGCTATTTTTTTGCTCGGTTGTTTTTTGGGTTTTTTTTTCCCTGGGAGATACCAAAATCCAAGAAATAAAAAATAATATTAACAAAAAAATATATATATCGGGACATCTTTTCTCTCGGATCTTTTATGCGGACGGTGCGGGAGCCCGCGGAGCAGCCCCGCGCAGGATGCGCGCCCGCCCGCGGAGGGGCCGCTCAGCCTCAGCTGCCGAACAGCCCCAGCTTTGGAGCCTCTGGCTTCCCCGAGGCCCGAGCGGGGCTCTCGGCTCTCAGCGTGACAAAGGACATGGCAAAGAACGATTTGAATTGGTTTTGTTGTTTTGTTTTTTTTTTTTTTTTTTTAACCAGGTCACAAACATTTATTAATTTACACCAACGGTGGACAAAATTCTGTTGCCTTTTCCACATCAAATTATTCACAGATTCTCTCAATAAAATAGATATGACGGATGCACAACCAGTGAAGAGTTAACTGGACTCCGCTCATTAGCTCCCGAATAATCTATATACAAATAATTACCAATACACCAAAAAACCCACGCACGGAGGGGGTGGGAAAACGGGGATTTAAAAAAAAAAATAGTATGGGAATTCTCCAAACTTCCTGACGGATCCGATTTTCTTTTAAACGTGCATTTGAATGTCTAATTGGGGAAAAAAAAAAAAAAAAAGAAAGGAAAAAAAAAAACCCGCAGTCCTGAGTTTCACCGACTTTTCTTCTTCTCAAAAACAAAGAAACCTTAAACAGTGCCTTTTCAAACCAAACCCGAAGCTTCAAAGAAACTAAAAATAAGATCGGACCATTAAAACATTTTCTTTGAGAGCAGGGGAGAGACGGACACACATGGCAAAACCACCCGGCACGGAGACTTGCGGGAACCCGAACGGGCTCGCTGCGAGCGGGGCCGTCCGCACTCCCCTGGCCGATCTGGGGGACCCCGCGGAAAACCCGCACCTCTCAAAGGAAACATTTCCGACCCCGAGACCGCTTCGTTCTTCACATGCCCCCCTCTGCCCCTCACACGGCGTTGCGTGTTCGAGCAGCCCAGGTCCCAGCTTATGTTACGGCCACTTTATAAATACGTTTTGGCGCTTGTAGGACCAAATCGTGTTATTCTTTCCCTCCTCCCGCCCTCCCGATTTGTTGGATTATTATTTTTTTTTTTCCGAGCAAAGAGAGACAAACAGATCTGGATGCCACTGAGCCTGGAAATTAAGTAAAAATTAAAAAAAAAAAAAAAGGAAATATTTCCTACCTTAAAACACAACAGGAGGAGATGGGGGGGGACACGGGGAGAGGGAAGGGGAGCAGTTTCGGAGGAGCGGGGGAGAGCTGGAAAGGGGCCGTTTGCTTCGCGACTCTCCCCCCATCCCCCTCCCCTTCCCCAGTCCCCAGCACACTTTAAAAATGACAGCTGCTGAGCGTTGTGATTTTACTGGAAAAGTTCTGGGCCGGCTGGAGGAGCGGCTCGTGTGCCAGGCTGACCTGCGGCTGTGCCGGGGCCAAGGCGGGGCTGAGCACGGCCAGGACCTGCGCCGGGGGGCCCGCCTGGCCGGCGGGGTAGGGCGCGGCGGGCGCGACGCTGGGGTTGGTGCTGGGCGGCGGGGGCACGGCCCCCCCGATGATGTTGTCTATGGAAAAAGAGGGCCGGGAGGGGTGGTTGGTGCCGCCGCTGCCGCCGCCGCCGCCGGCGGGCGAGGGGTCCGGCTTGAGGGTCTGGAGGAGGGCGGCGGGCAGGGCGGTGGGGCTCAGCTGGGGGTGGTAGAAGGACTTCCTGCAGTTCAGCTCGCCGCCCAGGAAGGAGGGCAGCCCCGAGGCGGCGGAGAAGACGGAGGCGGCGGCGGGAGGCGGCGGAGCCGGTAACGGGCAGTGCGGCGCCGGGAAGGGGAAGGCGCCCGCGGCGCCGCCGCCTCCGCCACCGGGATGGTGGTGGTGGTGGTGGGGGTAACCCTGGAGCTGCAGGCCGTAGTTGTAGCCGTAAGGTCCGTAGGCGAAGCCGGGCAGGAAGGCGGCGGGGTCGGCGGCCCCGGCCCGCAGCAGCAGCTCGGGGTGCGGCGGGTGCAGCTGCTGCTGCCGCTTGAAGCGCTTCCTCCGCCGCAGGAAGCTCCCGTTGTCGAACATGTCGGCGGACTCGGGGTCCAGCGTCCAGTAGTTGCCCTTGCCCGGGTTGCCGGGCTCCCGGGGGATCTTGACGAAGCAGTCGTTGAGGGAGAGGTTGTGGCGGATGCTGTTCTGCCAGGCGGGGAACTTCTCCCGGTAGTACGGGAAGCGCCCGCTGATGAACTCGCAGATCTCGCTCAGCGTCAGCCGCTTCTTGGGGCTCTGCAGGATGGCCATGGTGATGAGGGCGATGTAGGAGTAGGGCGGCTTCACCAGAGGGTTCTTCCCTCCCGCGCCGCCGCCGCCGCCGCCCGCGGGCGCCTTCTCGCCGGGCGCGGCGCCGCGGGCGCAGGCGGGCTCCGAGCCGCCTGCGGGGGACAGCCGCTCCGGGGACCCCCCCATGCGCGCCTTGGCGGCCCCGCTCCGCGGCAGCGCCAGCCCCAGCGGATCGCCGCCGTCCTCCTCGTCCTCCTCCTCCTCGTCCTCGTCGTCCTCCTCCTCCTCGCTGTACTTGCCCCCATCCTGGGGCGGGCCCACCACGTCGATATCCGCGTCCTCCACCTCGGAGAGCGGCTCTTCCTCCGGGGAGCGCTCGGACATGATCCCGCAGCCGCCGCCGCCGCTGCTGCCCAAAGTCATTGTTGTGCGGCCGGGGCGGCCGGGGCCGGGCTCCCCCTCCCACCTAGCGGCGGCTCCCGGGATGGGCCCGGGGCCGTGCCGGAGGGCTGCGGCCGCCGCTGGGACTCCGCGCCCCGGCTCCGCTCCGCTCCGCGCCCCGCTCGCCGCGCCGCTGCTGGCGGGGCCGCGCTGCCGGCTGCGGGGTGGTGGCTGCGGAGGGAGGGGCGGCGGAGGGGGCGCGGGGCGGGGGCGGGGGGACCGGGGCGCCCGTAGGCCGGGCAGGGCGCTTGGGAGCAGCGATAATAAATAATGGTGATAATGATAATAAAAGGAGAGAAATTGAAAAAAAAAAAGGTGGTGGGGGGAGAAGAAGGTTAAAAAAAAAAGAAAAGTGGGGTTTGTGACGGCTCCTTGTCTGGTTAGGGGGAGGGAGGGGGAGGGGGAAGGGAGGGGCAGGGGAAGAGGGAGGGGGGAGGGCAGAAGTGGGGAAGGCGGCTCCCCCCTCCCCACCCCTCCCGAGCTGGGACCCGGTGGAAACGCTCCCACACTGCGCCTGCTGCCAGCGCTCCCCAGGCCTTTATACGGCCGCCCCGGCATCACGTGGCGCCCGCCGCAGCCCCCACGGGGCACCGTGAGGGACTGCCCGGCCCGGTCCCCGGGGAGCGTGTCCCCCGCCCGAGATGCTTTCGAGGAAAGGCGCTGCCCGCTCCCCTGGCGCTCGGATGCCCCCAGCTTGTCTGGAGGCGGCTGCTGTAGGAGGGGGGCGATCGACGCTGGATAAAGCCCCTCCCCGCCCCGAGCGCCCCGCGGTGCTGGAGGCTCTCAGACCCCATTCCTGCGCGATGCGACGGTCGCTTTCCTGCGCCCGGGGGTCCGCGGAGGGTCCGCTCTCCCCCCGAGGGCTGCCCATCCCCGAAGCCGCGGGATGAGCTGCAGAGCTCCCGCAGCCTCGCCGACAGGGACCCTCACCCCGCCAGGACCGAGCCTTCGGCCCCCTTGAGGGGTGCTGTGAATCTGGGGATCCCCGCTCCCCTTCTCCACGCGCTCGCGTCACCGACACGTCACGGCGGCCGGAGCACCCTGCTGGAAACCCGCCTCCTCCTCCGAGGCTCCCGCCGAAGGGATGCTGCGCCCGGCAGGTGCGGGCCGGAGGGCGAGGAGCAGCGCTCTGCGAGCCTCTCCCCCCGCCAGCAATAACCAGAGCGAAGCTGGGACGGCTCCCGAGTCCCGCATCCCCGCCCGGCCGGGTACCACTTTCCGAGGCGGCCCGGCCGGGCCCAGGAACCCCTTGGGATGGGGAATATCCTGCGGCCCCGGCATCTCCTGCCTCCGCTTCCCTGACGGCTGGCAGGAGGAGGGGGTGGGCAGCAGGCACCCACCTTGTCGCGGAGAATTTCCTGCTAAAAGAGGCACACGAGGGCCTGGGAGCCACTGCGGTGTCCCCACTGCCCCCCTTGCGCTTCCCTGGCGCAGTCCGGTGAACACATCCGCGGCTGAAGCTGCGCAGCCCACGGCCCGTGGGTGGCTGTGACAGCAGGTTGTCCCTGTCTCTATCGCGGACGCTTTGAACCACCCTCTCGCTGTTAGATTTTGGTTCGGTTTGGTTTGGTTTTTTCCCTTGGAGGCTCTGCAAACACGAATCTGCTTTCCCGTGGGAGGATGCTCGGGGAGGGAGGAAGGGGATGGGCTCCTCCAAGGGGGTACCACGAGGAGATGGGAGATGTCCCCCCGGCAGGGCCACGCTCGGCAGTGTGAGAATCCGCCGTGATGAATTGCCAGGCTCTGCCGTTAACAGGTGCGAGCATTTGGTGATAAAATCTCCAGCACTAATACCGGGGAGCCGGGCCAAACAGCTGCGCGGCCCCGCTTCCAAATGCCGGTCACAATTACTCAAGCCCTAACGACTCGGTGCACAGGCTCGGCGAATTCGGTGGGACCCCGAGGAGAGGGCAGAGGCAGCGGACGCCTCCGTCCGCACATCTCCAGTGCGAGCAGCGATTTCAGAGCCGGAGCCTCTGCGCGGAGTCGGTCGCATCCTCCTCCCTCGCCGCCAGCGCGGACATCGGGAAGAATTTCTCGATCAAAGCAGAAAAGTAGAGGGGAAAACGTGCTGAGAGTTTCTCGGGAAGGTGGGAAGTCTGTCCCGCGGGCGCGTCTCAGCTCTGGGGGAGCTTTCCTGAGCTTTCACTTTTATATTTCTTCGATGGTCCTAACATGTGTTCACAACACATACGCATATATCTCCCTCTCATAAGTTTTTGTGTATATATATATACATATATATATATATAACTATATCTATATTTATTTTCTTTCTTTTCCCGATATATTATTTTTCATATACAGAAGTATATATAATTGTATAACACGGAGAAATGTCTCAGAGATGCCTCATCTTTCCTACCAACATTGTTTAAACTCTCCGTTCATCAGCCCGGTGGAAAAGCGGTGGGAAGAACAAATGGAAGAGAGCGGAGAGGGAAAAGACCCGAGCCGCTTTCCATTTTTATTAAGTAAAATAATAGTTATGCCTCCCCTACATAAACGAAAGTGTCATAAAAAATTCCGAAGCAGCTGCCAGAGATTTCGACCACACACACAACGGGGCGATTGAATTTCCACTTGGTGCATTTCATGGCAGCGAGGAACCGCCGGGAGCTGCGCCTTGTGCCTCTGCAGGGCGGCCAAGGGGAGGGCTGGGGGCAGCAAAGTGACGCGCTGCGAGCGGCCGGGGCAGGGGACACCGCCCGGCGGATGCTCCGGGCCAGAAGATGCTCGGCCGCCCCCCGATCGCGGGGCAGCTGCCTCCCGATCGCTCCGTCCCGCACGGTTCGAAGTGAAACAGATGTGGATGTCTGCTGCCTGCCCAGCCTGTCCTGCCCTGGCCCGGCCGCCGGCTCTCCCCCTGTCTGCAGAGGAGGGCACACCTCGGGGGGAGCCCCCGGCAACGCAGAGCTCGGGTGGAGCCGCCTGCTGCTATAGTTATGGACCCCGATGAGGTGGGAAATGCACGGGAGAGGCGAGAAGGGTTGATCCGAGGCGCTGCTGGTGGGATGCGGCCGGTGCCGTGTCCTGCTCCCGCCTGGAGCTGGCTCTGCCGCCCAGCACCGCGCTCCCCGAGCAGCGGCGTGTCCCGCTCACCCGGCACCGACAGCATTCCTGCCTGTTTCGAGGCTCATTGTGGTCCCCGATAAGCGGGGGATGATCCACAATGGCACGAGAGTGAGTATAAATCCCGCTCTCCCCGTCTCCGAACGGCTTCTGTTCGCCGAGTCGGTCTCAGCCTCGGCTTTGCCACGCAAGATCGGCTGCAGAAACGAATCAAAACGAGAAAAAGTACCTAAACTACACCCGTCCCGAGATGATTTACAAAAGGGAAACCCTGGAGTGAAACAAACCAGATGGTGGGATGCCAGACACGGTACACACACATACACACACACACACACACACACACACACGCACGCACTCCCGGCCGAGCATCCACACACGGAGCGACGGACGCGTTTCAATGTGCGCCGGGGTAAGAAATGATGTGGTCTCCCGAAAGAAAAACCCTATTGATCTACACGAAAAGATTGCTTTGTCATCGCCCCGCTGAGCCCGGCCATGCTAGGTTGGGAGGGAGGGAAACATTTTTCCTTTGGGCAGATTTTTAATTTTTCTGCTCTCCTCTCTGCAGTATTTCCTTACAGACAGCCTCACTTCCCGTTTGAAGCCAACTCTGCTTTACATTTCTCGTTAAATTCCGGAATCAAACGTGCGTGGGGATGAGTGCTGCTGGAGTGGAGAGAGTCTCAAAAAAGTCTCAAAAGTAGAGAAAGAATAAAAAAATAAAGGCCATCAACCGATCATTATGATTTATTTTCTCCTTTAAATTGATTTTCACTGTCTTTCCCGCCTGCCTTAATGAGGTGTTTGATCCAGGCGTGTGGGGTCGGTGTTTGATGCCCTGCTGACGGCTCCAGCAGGTGGATCCCCACGGCCGAGGTTTTCCCCCTGGGTGTCCCAGTGTCTCCGCCCGGGAGATCCTTAAAGCTGCAAAATTTGCCACAACGACCGGGAACATTTTGGTTTTTTTCTTTGGTTTTTTTGGGGTTTTTTTGGGGTTTTTTTTTTGTTTTTTTTGGGTTTTTTTTTTTTTTTTTTGGGGGGGGGGTTTTTTTGTTGCCCTGACCGTCCGCCCAGGGCGTTATTTGGTGGGGCTGTACCCGGAGGGCAGAACACGAAGCCCGGAGCAGCGCAGGGTGCGATCGCCGCTCCTGCCCTGCCCACCCAAAGAGCATCTTCCGGCGCGGGGGTTTAGCAGGGGAAAGCCCCTGGAGGTGAAGCTCTTGGGAATTGTGGAAAGTTCAGCTCCAGCCCAGCCGATGTTGCTCCCACACCCTTCCAGATGATCTATTGGGTTTGTGATTCGTAATCGTTCCTGTTGCTTCTGCCGAGCAGCATCTAAATTCGTTTATTCTGATGAGAACCGCATCTACAAGTCCCCCAAGGCTCAGAGATGGATTTTTCTTTATTACCTCGTTATCAAGCTTGGCTGACCTCTAGCTTCTCTGAAAACATGAACAAGACGGACCTGCTGCTGCCTGGGCTGCCCCAGGGGGCTCTTTTTCCACTTATGTGATTTCCTTTGATATTATTTCTCCTCTTTCCATATCCAAGGCTCAGCCCTTCAGTGCTCCCTGCAGTTCAGCCCTTTTCCCAGCCCCTCGCTGCCAGCTCCCAGCTGCAAAGATCAGTTTGCAGCCTGCACACCACGGGCTCCCAGCACAGGGAGGTCATTGGGAATGGTGGTGACAGATAGTGAGAGATACATGAAATTCCCAGGTTGAAAACCCCCGGAGCCGAGTACCAATATCCATCCCTGCAGCGTTCAGGTGTTGGACAGCTTGGGGTTGTTGACTTGACTTTTCAAATGTAAGTGTCTCAAAATCCACACTGAAAAAGGCCTGGATTTCAGTGAAGGCTTTTACCAGGAGCTCTCTTTGCGGGGCTGAGCCCCCATGAAACTTTGGAGC